TGAGATTTTATGATCACATTTTTATCATATAATAATTAACATGTTAATGTTCCGCTAAAATATTGTCAATTTTAACGAAAAATGGCGATTTTGGAACATAATGAATAGGTGACTATTTTGAAACTTTTAATAGTCAAATAACTCAACAAAGTAACATTCTATAGTCGAAATATCATTTTGTAACTTTTAATAGTCGAGATACTTAATAAAGTAGTACACTATAGTCGAGAGACTATTTGTGTATTTTATCCTAATTTTATAACACGAACTTTATTTTAAAAATTGAGTTTTTTTGAGTTTTTTAACATCTAATTAAATGAAAAAATTAAATTTCTCGAATCAAATTGAGTTTCAATCCAACCTTACTACTATTCATTAGTATAAATCAATCCTAAAGAATTAAAAGCATGGTTTTCAGAATCGGATCGGTTAGCGAACCGGTCATGCTACCGGTTCACTAGTTCAACCGGTTGAACAGGTTGGAAGAACCGGACGACGTCATAATTATTTAAAAAATTAAATAAAAATACTAAAAATATTTAATAAAAAATAATTTTTTTTATCACAAGTCATATTCAAAGCAAGTCATAACATATATAAGTTAAAAACCATAAAATCAAGTGAAACAAAATGATTCAAATTAACTACAACATAATATTTAAGGTAAAACATATTAAATAATAAATATAATTATATAACTATAATTAAAAAATAAATTTGGGATTAAAAAATCATAACAAAATGATATTGTTTGATTTAATTTTTTTTAAAACAATCCCACATGGCTAAGAAACATAGAAGAGCATCCTAAAAGTCTAAAGAGTAAAAATATGAGAACAAAACAATCCCACATTACTAAGAAACATAAAAGAGCATCACAACTAACTTCTATAAATAATAGAGGTAATTTGGCATTTAAAATCATGGAGTCTTTTGGTGAGTATTGCGTGAACTATTCTTTCACTTCAATCAAGCTCGAATTTTAGGCTTCAATCGAGCTTCTAATTTTTTTTTTAATTCAAGCCTTTTTGAGTTCAAGTTTCAATATTATATTTCGAGTTTGAGTTGAACTTGATAATTTTTAGCTTGTGAGTTTGAGTTGAGTTGAGCTTACTTTTAAAGTTTTCAAGTTCGAGTCGAGCTCAACAATACTCGAGTTCGACTTGGCTCGTTTAACAAACGACGTTGTTTGGTTTAATTTTTTTTTTAAAAATAAAAAACAAAATTTCCGGTTTTTTTCGGTTTTTAGCCAGTCCGGTTCGAACGGTTCAATTGTTCAGGCCGGTTCACTAGTAGCGGTTCAACCGGTTTAGATTGAACCGGACTAACAAACGGTTCCCGATTGAACCGACCGATCCGGTCCGGTTTTCAAAACAATGATTAAAAGAATCAACGCACAACTATCGTTGTTTTATCTGGCTCAAAAAATCTGTCAAAAATGAACTCTAATGCTTCTCATATGCATAAAAATGTATAAGGTACGTCAACTTTAATATACAATTAAATAAAGGCGTTATCGAAAATATTAATATTTTTTTAATATTTCTGGTAAAGTGCTACCTAAAATATTATTTTTTATACCGAAAATGTTAATATTGGGCGCTACCTATAATGTTTAACATTTCTGGTAAAACGCTACCTAAAACATTATTTTTCTACCGAAAATTAATATTAGGCGCTACTTATAATGTTATTTTTTATCAAAAATATTAATATTGTTTTTAATATTTCTTGTAAAGTGCTACCTAAAATATTATTAATGTTTAACATTTATGGTAAAACGCTATCTAAAACATTATTTTTCTACTGAAAATGTTAATATTAGGCGCTACTTATAATGTTATTTTTATCGAAAATTAGGTAGCGAAATTAATATTTTAGATAATATTTTATTGGAAATGTTAAAAAAATATTAATATCTCTAATAACCAATGTTATTAAAATCGGACCGGCCGGTTCAACCGGTTGAACCGTGAACCGGTGGCATGTCCGGTCCGGTTAACTCCCAAAACCGGATGAGCACAGAACCGGCTGAAAACCAACAAAACCGATGTGAACCGTCGGTTCTCTTTTTTTCTTTAAAAAAATATTAAACCAAATGATGTCATTTGTTAAACAAGCTAAGTCGAACTCGAATACTGCTGAGCTTGACTCGAACTCAAAAACTTTAAAAGTAAACTCAACTCGACTCAAAAACTCACGAGCTAAAAATCATCAAGTTCAACTAGAACTCAAAATATAATATTGAAACTTGAACTCGAAAAGGAACTCAAAAAAAAATTAGAAGCTCGATTGAAGCCTGAAATTCGAGCTCAATTGAAGCGAAAGAATAATTCGCTTTGTGTTCACCAAAATGCTTTATAATTTTGAATGTCAAATTAACTTTAGTATTTATAGAAGTCAGTTGGGATGCTCTTCTATGTTTCTTAGCCATGTGGGATTGTTCTGTTCTCATATTTTTACTCTTTAGACTTTTGAGATGGTCTTCTATGTTTCTTAGTCATGTGTGATTGTTTTTTTTAATTAAATCAAAAGACATCGTTTGTTATAATTTTTTTCAGCCCCAAATTTATTTTTTGATTATAGTTATATAATTATATTTAATATTTAATATGTTTTACCTTAAATATTATGTTGTAGTTGATTTGAATCATTTTGTTTCATTTGATTTTATGTTTTTTTATCTTATATATTATGACCTTCGATATTTTTATACCTTTTAATATTGTAAACTTAAAAAAAGTGTTATATGTATATTAATATTGCTTTGAATATTATGTAAAATTTTAAAAACAATATTATTTTATATAAAATTCGGTTGAACCGCAGTTGAACTCGGTTGAACCGTTAAATCAATACCTTCACCGGTTTAATGTTCGGTCCAATTTTAAAAACATTGCTAATAACACATTCTCTTAATCGTGTATTAAAGTTATCATACAACAGAACAACCTATATGCATCATAGTCGGTAGTTGACATAAGGTGACCTGTCATGTTTCTCATTCGATCAATATATTGGAGCAAAAATTAGAATTTTGAGAAATTACTCTTTTTAATTTAGATTAATTATTAAGTGAAAAATAAATAAATAAATAAAATGGGTTGAGAAGGATGATAAAATAATAAAAAAATATAAGATTAAAAAAAGATAGTTTCATTCTTTTTTTAACCATACATGATGCCTAGGATACAAATCGTATCAGAATTAGAGTTATAATGATCATTTATAAATTGACAGATTAAATACATTTGATTGTCCTATAACAAATTTGACTTTGATATATCATAACCAGATATCATTTCATGATCATCTATAAATGGATAGATTAAATATTATTGTCGTATAACAAATTTGACTTTGATATATCATAACCATATATCATGGGCTGAACTTTTAGTCACATAAATGGTAATTTATGATTGCACGAATCAACTTACCTCACCTAAATGGTTAAAAGAATCAACAAATCGATTCTTAAGCCACATAACGTCTCACTTGACTGAGTTACGAGCTGTAAACTAAGACTCCATGATGAAGCTATCGATATATATTTGTTTTAAAAACTACACTATTAGTCATTCATCTCAAAGTAAGATATACTCAGTCATTTATATAATGTCAAAAATTAACTTTAATATTTGATAAAATAATCTCTTTTAATTTTTTATTTTTTAAATACTATAGCCCTCTACATTTAAACTTTGGTTAAAATGATCATTTTTAAATAAAAATCGTTAGTTAACTAATAATTAAAGATAGTCATTAACATGATATTTTCACACGTGCTTAATCATTGATGTGTTATATATCACATCGTCACTTTTGGTAACATAATATAATTTCAAAGCAAATGTCGAAATTCAGATGCAAATGTCCGTATTCGAATTCACATTAGGTGAAATAAAGTGATGAACCCATCAAGTGGCTTAGTGGTAAAAGGGAACATATTCTCTTTAGAGGTCTTGGTTTCGAGCAGTTACATCTGCAGAATGTGTGTTGTTAATATGTTAAGAAAATTATGAAGAAATACTACATTGTAATCGCTTCAAACTATTAAAAAAGGTGAGATAAAAAAGTTAATACATTTTATCATATCTTAGTCAGTAGATTGACGTATAGCTCATACTACTGTCAATTTTTTTTAATGAAAAAGGATGGGTTTGGAACATATGAATAGTTAGGTGACTATTTTGTAATTTTTAATAGTTGAAGGACTCAACAAAATAACATTTTTAAAATCTATTTTGTAACTTTTAATAGTCGATGAACTCAATAAAGTAACATTTATAGTCAAGGGACCATTTGTGTACTTTACCCAAATTAAAAAATAAATAAAATTTAATAATAATATAAAGGGCCAACTGCACATTTAATACCTAAATTATCATTTTTGTATCTAAACTTTCATTTATTTCAAAAACATACCTAACATTTACTTTTTATTTCATTTGGTACCTCGTCGTTAAAAACTTAATGTCATTGTTGTACGTGACACCTTTTTATGGATAAATTATATCCGTTATCATTCAACTATCTTCTCACTCTTATTTTGGTCATTAAATTTTAAATTTTTAAATTTACTTACTTATCTTTTAAATTATTCCTAATTTAATCACTTTAATTTTCCTATTTAATTTGTCATTTTAATTATATATTGATAAAATAAAAAATATCATATAACAAAAAATATTAATAAAATAAATTAGAGTGATTAAAATATGAATAATTTGAAAGTTGAATGGTTAAATTGAAATATTGTAAACTTTAGTAATTAAAATAGGAGAAAATAGTTGAATGATTAATAATATAATTTACCCATAAAAATGCACTGTATTAAAATGAAATAAAAAGTAAACATTAGGTATAATTTTAAAATAAATGAAAGTTTAAGTATTAAAACAAAATTAGACTGATAGTTTATATACTAAATGTGTAGTTTGCTCTAATATAAATTACCCATAAGATTCCTTTGAAGCAATAACACGTGAAAGGCCCAATCGCCTCCTTTTCCCGTTCCAATTCCAATGCAACAGAAATCCATTTAGAGCTTCGCTTTCGTCTCCTGTCGACAATTCCACTGTGTACAACAGCGTTTTATTTCGAATTAAGGTCGATGTAGTCTGTTTTGGGTTCAGATCTCTCCGATTTGAAGTGAGAATCTCCGTCTGTATCTTTCTTTTTGTTCAATTGCAAAGAAAAATCGAGGAAGCTAAGCGCTTTTGCCTATACATTTTTTTCAGGGTATCAAATGTTGTAGGTCAGGAATTTTGGCATTTCCGCGAAGATTGAGAAGGTTAACGGCCAAATGCCTGTAAAAGCTGTACAATCCTCATTTAGGGATCGGACGCACGAATTTCAGAGCGTCGCGGAGAGGTTGAGGAAGTCGTTGTCGTCTGGAGCGGGCCAGGATGGACCAAGTAGCAGTACGTCAAGAGCGGACGAACATGGATCTATGGTAGCGCATCAATCGGAGTTTAATAGGAGGGCTTCCAAGATTGGACTTGGGATTCATCAAACTTCGCAGAAGCTTTCCAAGTTAGCAAAATGTAAGTATTTATTGATTTTAGCCTCATATACGTTTACAATTGTTATAGCTCTTAGTAATGTATGGGCTAAAAGCTCAAATTTAGCTTCTTGTGGCATTTAAAGCAGAATTTAGGATTGAGAGATAGATTTAATTGGATTTTCGGGATATGCAAACTTTGTTACTTCAAATTAATTACAGTCTAACAACAATTTTAGAAGAACGTACCTGAATAGCTCACAAATTCCTGTTTGATCCATATGGTTGTTAAAAGTAGGAGCTGGGAGAGAGATATTCGTTGGGGGTTTGTTTGGTAATAAGTATTGGGAAACTTCAATGATAAAAGAAATGTCAGAAATCAGTTTATTTTTCTCTATCCATGGAATTGTACAGTGCACTTAACTCCACCTGGCTCACACCGGTCTCCCTTAGGATTTGTAAATCAATCCAATTGAGATTTTCTTTTTATTCTTTTTTGATTTGTTTTAGTTTAAGTCAATCTGAAGCAACCTTTTCTACCAATAGATATTTGATGTTATTATAAAAACCTTGGTTGAGTTATTTATTAATAAAATAATTTGTCTCAATGTCTAAAGGAATAACACTTGCTCCTAATCCTATTTATTGTTCTTACTATTGATGGGTCCAAGTCTTTTATCACCTTCCCATTCCATCCTCTTGTTTTCTACCAGGCAAAGTCTTTAATGATGCCAGTGGTGAATAATATTTTCTTGATTACATTTATACATGTTTGTGCTAGGAAACAATGCAATTCTCAAATATTGCTTTGCTTATATTAACGGAAAAGTATTTTTAAATTGGCTTTTTTCATCCTTGAACTGGAAAAAAAATATAGAATCAAGATTTTAATCTCAATATATCAGTAGGAGGAACTGCCTTCACAGACTTTTACTGCTGCAGAAATGTGTCCCTGAATATTACTTTCAAGTGAATATGCTGTTTAGTTACCCCAAAACCATGCTTCTGCAGTTATGTGCCTCTCCCCTTCCTTTTCTGTGAATCTGTATGTGGTCTGATAGGAATTGAAATAACAATATTAGGACCTGTCAATTAGAATTGAAATAGGAAAAGATCCCATCTTGGTTTAGATTGTACTATTGTTGCATTTGAAGTTGATGAAATTCATTGTGCTCAACCATCAATGACTGATGTAGGAGAAGACAAACAAACGAGATGTTGGTAGTAGTTTGTTATGGATGTTGTTGTCAAAGTTGCTGTGATCCCACGTATTCTTCTTTCAGTACTAAAAAGAAATCCTGTATTTTGTTTATTTTGCAGTGGCCAAGAGGACCTCAGTATTTGATGACCCTACAATGGAAATCCAAGAGCTCACTGCTTTTATAAAGCAGGATATCACTGCACTTAATTCTGCAGTGGTAGATCTTCAGCTTTTTTGCAATTCTAGAAATGAAGGTGGTGTCTCTAGAGATACATCTAGTCATTCAATCACGGTCGTAGATGACTTGAAGAATCGCTTGATGAGTGCTACAAAAGAGTTCAAAGAAGTACTCACCATGCGAACAGAGGTAAGTCGGTGTGTTTTTCTTTGCTCACTTAGAGTTGTTTTACTACTATTCCTTCATGTTATGTCACTGGTAATACATTATACATCCTTTACAATATATGGTAATTGAATTGTCTCGTACAGAATTTAAAAGTACATGAGAACAGAAGACAACTATTTTCTTCTATTGCTTCGAAGGATTCTCCAAATCCTTTTATACGTCAGCGCCCCTTGGCTGCCAAATCAGCAGCTGGAGCTTCAAAGAGCCTTCCTCAGTGGGCTAATGGTTCTGCATCTTCATCTCAATTGTTTCCCAGGTAATGGCTTATCAAATGTTTTGCAAAAATATACGCATGACTTCTTTTTTCTCTTTTGGTGCAAGTGATATACATGACTCATTAACTGGAGAAAATAGTTTAGCCCTTTGGTCTTGAATTTTCTTTAGGAACCCCCAAGTTTGTTCAACGATAATTTTAGGGATGGCAATGGATTGTGCAGATTCGGATATTTCCCGACACCAAAGTTGCATTTTGCAGATTTGGATTTTGTGTATTCAAATTATATTCAAATTTGGATATTCTAATTACTATTACAACAGATTCGGAGCAGATACGGATATTAACTCTCGAACATCTGTTATCCGACTCTACTTATTTTGCAGATAATGGATAATCATGATCTGCTTTATTATTGTGGTAATGGATTCTGATTCAGATATCCGAATTTATTACCCACCTTATTTTTAATTTTTTTATTTAAATACTATTTGTACTTGCTAAATGAGAATATTTAGTGGATTCAAATATCTGAAAAATAATTTAATTAATTTGGATTTAGAGTTGGAGAGTTCAGATTGAAAATAAATAATAAATGGAATCAGATTTTAAAGCAGAATTGCACATTCAGATTTTACGGAAATTGCATATATCCAACTTGCTTCCATCCCTACATAATTTGTTATTGAGTTCTCTTGAAATGTTTATTAAAATTGATCTTGTATGCTTTTATTGGTTTGTGACTACTGTAGTGCTGTTCTTACTTCCAGAATAGCTGCGTTCTCTTTTTTTTCCCTTTGCATGCAGTGCATTCTTGTGTTTTTGATTGTTGAATGATGCTGAATTTGCTTTTATTTTTCATGCAGTCTTTTATATATTTTCATTTCAATCAAATATCGTTGACTTATTTTTTTGTCTACATGGATTCCACTTCTTATATGAACTATATCAACTTAAAATTCTGTAGACTAGTGAAACTCATTTCTGGTTCTTAATTGTATAGAAAGCAGATGGATGGAGAGAGTCAACCATTGCTCCAGCAGCAGGAGCAACAACAGCAACAAATGGTTCCCTTGCAAGACAGTTACATGCAGAACAGGGCTGAAGCTCTTCAAAATGTAGAATCCACTATTCATGAGCTAGGTACCATCTTCAGCCAGCTATCTACTCTGGTTTCTCAGCAAGGAGAGATAGCAATCAGGTTTCTCTCTCTCTCTCTCTCGAATCAAATTCTCTTGGCATAAATAGAAATTTATTCTATTTACTAATATATCACGAGATATATGAGATGTTTATGTCATAGTATGATAGTATACTGCAGTTTGTAGTTTTATAGACTTCTACTAATTGATGTTCGTGTTTATTTTTATTGGAAGTCCTATTAACATATGATCATAGTTGTGCTAGAAACAATGGTGTAGTTCAACAATCAGTGATAAAGAGCTGGATGTGACATTGGCATTTAAAAATGTTACTGGTTCTGAGTTTGGGGTCATAGATGTTGTGGTCTCCTAAATAAATGACTGTTTATACCGTGATCGTTCTGACATGGTTACTATTTAGTTATTTCATCCCGAGTATGCACGAGAGTTTTGTACTTCGGGAGTCGCTGACAAAAGTTATTGACAATATCGACCTGGAGCGACTTTCAAACGTTATTGATAATATCGACAAACAAAACTAGTTTGCATGTTAGAACTGGCATTATACATTGATATGACAGTCTCGAGTAGTTAAGCGAAGTGTGGATTTCTAACCCGTGATATTTGCTCTTCAGGATCGATGAGAACATGGATGACACGTTAGCGAATGTGGAGGGGGCGCAGGGAGCCCTGCTGAAGTACCTAAACAGCATATCATCTAATAGGTGGTTGATGATCAAGATATTTATGGTATTGATGTTTTTCCTCGTGGTTTTCCTATTCTTTGTGGCATAGTGAAGAAAGGGGGATGTTATATTCACTTGGTATATAATTATATATGTAGCTTTAAGCCACAATGCAGTTCCTTTTTTTGTCTCATCCTTTGTACCAAGCATGACCTTAGAGGTCCAATTCAGTTGCTCTATGATGGTCACGTGATTTGTTTTGAATAGTTTAGAGTTGATTACAAAGTAGTATTTGATCATATTCTTTTAACCTATTGACAATGCACACTACAGACCAGCTGCTCGAATTCAGGACATATAGCGAGAATCAAGGACGGACGTAGGATTTTAAGTTAGGGGGTGAATTTGAACTTATAAAATTTCAAGGGGACAAACTTGAACTTATAAAATTTTTAGGGGGTGAAAATATATTTTTAATAGAAAATATATAAAAAAATCTAAAATATATATATGGTAATTTTAGATTTTTAGGGGAGCGTCTCTACTTGCTCCCTCCTAAATCCATTTCTACAGAGAGTAACATTTTTTTTATTATTGGGGTCAGTTGATGGATTTTATGATGATCATATGGGATGATAAATATAAGAGAAAATAATCTCAGTGACAAAAAATGCCTTATAATATACGATTTTAACCAACTTTTTTTGGATTTGTCAAAATGACTAACTAAATCGCAATGCGATCGATAATTCGCAACACGATCTCCGGTATCGCAAATAAGTTTCCAGATTCGCGCGGACGTGTCGAAGACACGTATTACCACGACCACGACCCGAGACGGACGGCGGCGGCGGCGGCGCGCGAGAGTCCCCCTTGTTCTCTATCACTCAACAAGTAAGTGGGAAAGTCAAGCCTTAAATACCATTCTTAATAGTGTTTCCAATACTATGTGGGATTGAGCATTACCAACACTTGTTTCCAATACAATGTGATTATTCAGGAAACAATTAACAATCATGCACCTTAAAACAACTGAATCAGCAACCAATTGCATTAGTATTATACGATTAAATATGTCATAATTAAAAGTCAATCTACAATCAATCGCGATTATTGCAATTTTAAGCAAAATATTCAAAAATAATATCACTATTTAAGGCTCAATCCCACATAGTATTGGGAACAAGTGTTGGTAATACTCAATCCCACATAGTATTGGAAACACTATTGGGAATGGTATTTAAGGCTTGGCTTTCCTACTTCCTTGTTGAGTGATAGAGAACAAGGGGGACTCTCGCGCGCCGCCGCCGCCGCCGCCGTCCGTCTCGTCTCGGGTCGTGGTCGTGGTCGTACGTGTCTTCGACACGTCCGCGCGAATACTATCTTTTTAGAGAAAATTCTTAAGAAACAAATGCAATACTACCAGTCGTGATTTTGGACTATCGCAATGCGAATATGTAAATCGCAATGCGATAGTCGAAGTTCGCGTAATTCGCATTGCGATAGTCCAAATTCGCGTTGCGATAGTCGGAGTTCGCGTTGCGAATCTGGAAACTGATTTGCGATACCGGAGATCACGTTGCGAATTATCGATCGCATTGCGATTTACTTGATCATTTTGGCAAAACTAAAAAAAGTTGATTAAAATCGTATATTATAAGATATTTTTGGTTACTAAGGTTATTTTCTCTAAATATAATTATAAGTGTGCATAATAATTGGGCATAATTATAAGTTGGTTTTAGTGGCTTAAACTATTATCATAATCTAGTTCTAATCTTAATTAGTATTATCTCCGTCTTATTAAAAATATCTTTTATTGATTTTTTTGATGTCTAAAATTTTAAATTTTATCTATGATTATTTAAATATTTTTAATTTTTTTTAAAATAAATATTTCAAAATTGTTTGATTAAAGGTTTTTAAAATATTTTTTTTTATTTTTATCAATAAAAGATTTATTATAGAAAAATTGTGTAAAAATAAATCTATTCAAATTATGTACTCTATTTTTAATCTTTTTTAAATATACAATTCATAATAAATCTTTTATTTGTTTTCTCCTTCAATTTATTTTCATTAGTTAAACCACGCAGTTATAAGTTTCTCGAACCGGACTTAATCAAAATTTAAACTACAAAATCTAATATATTTTGATGCAAGTAGGGATGAGTAAAAATTGACTCGACTCAAAATATCATTTTTTTTAATTTCAAGTTAATTGATTTGAGTTATTCGAGTAAACTCGAATTATTAATTTTGTTTTCGAGTTTGAATTGAACTTTTGAAATTTTGAGTTATTCGAAAAATCGAAAGTTTGACTAAGTATTTTGACAGTTTTACGATTTAATCCATGATTTCATATTCCTTCAGTTACTCCATCATTTTCAATCATTTTTGTTACCAAATTTGAACTACACGCTCTTAAACCATCGTAGAGTACATATACCTTTCAATTCCTCTTTTTTATAACACATTATATTTTTCAATTTAGTTCTTTAATTTTTCATAATTTCCTTATTTTTTCAATTCACCCTTTATTTTAAATCTATTTTTATCAACTTTGAACCACATGCTCATATACCACAATAAAATATCTACGTAACTTCAATTTTTACCTTTTACTAAAAATATACTCTCTTTTATTTAGTCCTTTAACTTTGCATCTTAATCAATTTGATCTTTTAACTAAAATTGTTTGTAAATTCTTCCTCATAAAAAAATTACCCTCAAAATATTTTCTTTAAAACATAATATTATGAATATATTTTATAATTTTAGATTGTATTTGATATATTAAATAACATCATAACGTGAAAATAATATATATATATATATGATTAGAGAAAATTAAAAAATTGAAACAAACCTTTACCGTAATACTATAAATAATTATAATAAAATTAGTATATAAACTCAAATAACTCGACTCAATAGACTAGCTGCAAGTTAAAAGCAAGTTAGATAAATTAAATAAATTAACGTAACGTTTTAATAGTATATCAAGTAATGATATGTTTAAATACTAAACAGTAAACACAACCTAATGTATTTCCTAAATTTAAAACCAGAAGTGGATTAAAGTTAAACGAGTTCCCAAACGGATCGTCACTTTCCCAGTGTTTAAAAGACTTCTTCTTCTTTGATCGTCAACCGACTCTGGTAACTGCTCTGTCAATCTCCTTGTAATTTTTATTTTTTATTTCTTTATTATTAATGTTGCCTTACTTTTTGATCTTTCTAACTTCTCTTTTCGTTTGATTTTTGCTTTGGAAGTTAATCTAAGAGTTCGATCATGATATTTTCTTGGATTTTCCGTTACACGCTTCGATTAAAAGAAAAAGCCATATGATTGTGCATCTCTTTCATTTATATTCTTGATAGAATATTGTTCATTGCAATGGATTTTTATAAATATTGTTATTTGTTTGGTATAGGTTTTAGATGTTGGTTGTTCTTGTTCTTTAAATTGCTATTTGGAATCCGTTCCTTAATAGTGGATGTCACCATAAACAGAAACGAACCTGTTACAGATGTGAATACTTACTAAACAGTGCCCGTTCTCATTGTTTGTTGTGGACCAGGCAATTCGGGTCGAGTATTTTTATAATTGTATAAATTTCGGTACGCCAATTAGGGGTGAGTATCTGATTGAATCGAGTAAAAAAATTTTGAGTTCTTCGAGTTGATGAGTCTTATTTTGAGTTGCATCTTATCGTGTTTTAGTTATTTTTCATGTTGTGTCTATATTATGAGTTTTGGTTTGTTGCAATGTAGGGATATACAACAATCCCATCTGTTTTTTCATTTTTTTAAGCTTACATAGACATTTTCTATCACTGTACTATTGTTAATTGTTTCAACCCATATTACACTCTTCTTCTTCTTCTGTGGATTATTCTTTTGTCTAAATAATCAGTTTTCTTATTCCACAAAAGCAATGAAGCCAGTAGCTTCTTCGATGAATCCCTATACAACATTATGCATACCTCTTATGAGAAGGGAGACAATTATAATATTAAAGCTAAAGATATTAATCATAGCAATGAGATTGCTTGGTTTGAACATTCCTCACACTTCGTCCATAATCTGCACTGAATCGAGTGAAGCATTGTTATAGTGTAAATTAACCGCGAAGTGTTAGAGGAATGTTCAAACCAAGCAGTTTCATTGTCAAGATTAACATCTTTAGCTTTAATATTATAATTCATCTCCATTCTCACAAGAGGTAACCCTCACCACTGAAAAACCTTACTTTTCTTTTGCCTAGGGAACCCGTGCCACTGACAAGCCTTACTTTTTCTTTTCTCTAAATGATCAATTTTCTTATTCCACAAAGGCAATGAAGCCAATAGCTTCTTCATTGAATCCCTATGCAGCATCATGCATACCTCTTGTGAGAAAGAAGGTAAATTATAATATTAACGCTAAAAATATTAATCGTGACAATGACAATGAGCCTACTTGGTTTGAACATTCCTCAAATTTCTCCCATAATCTGCACTGAATCGAGTGAAGCATTGATATAGTTCAGATTAAGGGCGAAGTGTGAGGGAAATGTTCAAACCAAATAGTCTCATTACCATGATTAATATCTTTAGTTTTAATATTATAATTTGTCTCCATTCTCAGAAGAGGTAACTCGTGCCATTGAAAAGCCTTACTTTTTCTTGTCTAAATGATCAGTTTTCTTATTTCGTAAAGGCTATGAAGTCATTAGCTTCTTCGTTGAATCCCTATGCAACATCATACATGCCTCTTGTGAGAAGGAAGACAAATTATAATATTAAACCTGAAGATATTAATCATGGCAATGAAGCTGCTTGATTTGAACATTCCTCACACTTCGCCATAATCTGCATTGAATCAAGTGAAACATTGTTATAGTGCTGATTAAGGGCGAAGTGTGAGGAAAATGTTCAAACCAAACTGTCCCATTACCAATATTAATATATTTAGCTTCAATATTATAATTTGCCTCCATTCTCACAAGAGGTAACCCGTGCCACTAAAAAGCCTTATTTTTTTGTCTAAATGATCAGTTCTCTTATTCCGCAAAGGCGCATGCATACCTCTTGTGAGAAGGAAGATAAATTATAGTATTAAAGCTAAAGATATTAAACATGGCAATGAGACTGTTTGGTTTGAGCATTCCTCACTCTTCGCTCATAATCTGCACTGAATCGAGTGAAGCATTGTTATAGTGCAAAATACAGATTAATGGCAAAGTGTGAGGAGAATGTTCAAACCAAGCAGTCTCATTGCCATGATTAATATCTTTAATTTTAATATTATAATTTGCCTCCATTCTCACAAGAGGTAACCAGTGCCACTGAAAAGCCTTACTTTTTCTTTTGTCTAAATGATCAGTTTTCTTATTCTACAAAGGCAATGAAGTTAATAGCTTCTTCGTTGAATCCCTATACAACATCATGCCTACATCTTGTGAGAAGGAAGGTAAATTATAATATTAAAGTTAAAGATATTAATCATGGCAGTGAGGCTGCTTGGTTTGAACATTCCTCACACTTCGTCTATAATCTGCACTGAATCGAGTGAAGCATTGTTGTAGTGCAAATTAAGGGCGAGATGTGAGGGGATGTTCAAACAGAGTAGTCTCATTGCCCTTATTAATATCTTTAGCTTTAATATTATAATTTGCCTCCCTTCTCACAAAGGTAATCCATGCCATTGAAAAGTCCTATTTTTTCTTTTATCTAAATGATCAGTTTTCTTATTCCGCAAAGGAATGAAGTCAATAGCTTCTTCGTTGAATCTCTATGCAGCATCATACGTACCTCTTGTGAGCAGGGAGACAAATTATAATATTAAAGTTAAAGATATTAATCATGACAAATGAGATTGTTTGGTTTAAACATTCCTTACACTTCGTCCATAATCTACACAGAATCAAGTGAAGCACTGTTCTGGTGCAGATTAAGGGCAAAGTGTGAGGAATGTTCAGATGGAGCATTCTCATTCCCCATGATTAATATCTTTAGCTTTGATATTATAATTTACTTCCCTTCTCACAAGAGATACCCGTGCCACTGAAAATCCCCATTTTGCTGAAGCTTCATTAAAAAAAAAACCCATCATGCTCGTAGTTCTTTGGTTCAAAGTCCAGGTGAAATTATGGACAAGCACATTATGGATGTAGTATTAGACATGGATTTGGATTATCTGCGCATGACATTCCATGGTTTATCCAATAAGTATCTTCTGTAAGTCCAAGAATTGTGGGGTTCCAAAGGGGGGTATTTCATGGTTGGATAAAGTGATCTGCTTAATTTGATTAGTATTGTTTCTCTTGTCCCATTTTTACCATTTAAGGTCTTTCCTTGGTTTTGCTGGAAGACTGAAGAGCATATGTTTTGGTGAATCTTGTTTTACTTGATGAACAAATTTTAAGTATGTATCCTTTTACTCACTTTCTGGTATTCATGGAAATCCGAATTGCTCTCTTGTGCAGATGCAAACCGTTGAACCTTCCGGAACAATTCCGGACACCTTGGATACCAATGATGTCTCTGAATCTGGGTCTGCAGCACACTTTAGTGCTCCTAAACTGAAAAACGTAGCAGCAGGTGATACTAGTGCTTCTTCTGGCTCTGCAGAATCCGCAGTTACCTCCTGATTGACTTTATCAAAGCAATCTAATGGTATTCCTTTTCCTTTTTTTTTCTGTGTGTTCGTATTTGCGTTCGTGTTTGCGAATTAGAAGTATACACAAGTAGGGATCTTTGGTGAAGGCTGGGAAACATTGTAGTGGTCCATATAACATTTGAAGGTTGCGTATATGAATGCTGCTGCATGCCCCTGATTCCCCATACCCTGCTTTTGGGGGCTTATGTGTTTGATGAAGAAAGCTCAATACACTTTACATGCAAAATCATATATAGTTTTACATCAGAAATGTAAATGATTTTCGTTTCTTCATGTTCACATTTTGCTTTAGCATGCATTGGTTTAGGTGTGTGGGTTTAGATTATTGATTTGGATGTGTGGGTTATGATTGCTTTTATGTGTGTAATATGGAAATTAATGCGATTGTTGTTGAGCCTAACAAAGACATGAAGTTCAACGACGACAATTATCATATTTGTAGCATGAATATTATGTCATCGAGGAGCAACAAGTAGGGCTGAGCAACGAAATCGAGAAAACTGACACGAACCGAGTAAAACAGTTCGGTTTGGTTTTAAACGGTTCGGTTTAAAAGTTTCATTTTTTTGATTCGGTTCGGTTCGGGTTTTCCATATGGAACCCATTTGTTCCATATTGAACCGAATAGGCAATATTTGTAAAAAAAAATTATAGTTTCAAGTGATTTTTTTATTGAAAAACCGATAAACCGAATCGAACCGAAAAACCCGAACCGTTAAAAAAATTGAACCAAACCGAAAAAATCGGTTTCGGTTTTTTCGGTTTTTTAACTATTCGGTTTCGGTTTAAATATTGAAAATCTGTTTATTTCGGTTCGGTTTAATTTTTGACAAAAAATCAAACCGAACCGAACCGAATACACCCCTAGCAACAAGTGTTGGGAATCAATCGTTCTAAGTAGTATCTGTTCAGAATTTTGATTAGTAAATGACAAAGTATACACATCTTACGAACATAGTTATTCAAATCTGAATCTTCCAAAAAAATAATAATATATTTTATCACCGGTATATTCGTGACACGGTAAATATTGAGGCTTTTAAAAGCGCAAGAATTTTATGATAGACATCATATTGATTAATGCAGTGACATATGATATGATATAGTGCGACATTTTGACCATTTAATATTAAAATAGAATTTTAATTATAGTTAAAAGGTTTAATAAAATATTATTTATTAATATTAGTAAATAGAATAATATTAGATTTTTCATATATAAATATTTATTAGATCTACAACATAAAAGGAAATTTCAAAAAGGGTAAATTACTCCAATGGTCATTGATGTTTGGGTAAGTTTTTGTTTTCACTATTGATGTTTTAAAAGTTATAAATCGGTCATTAACGTTATCGTTTGTTACAAATTGGTCACTCGCCGTTAACAGGCGTGACGGAAAACACGCGTGGCCTGTTAACAACAGTTAACAGGCTTACATGGATGGTATAATTATACAAATAGTTCATGTTATTTATATATTCTCTCAACTTGATCCTAGTTTTAATAAATTAAAATATATTTATTTTTAATTCTTATAAATAATTATATATTTTAAAAAAAGGAAATCAAAAATTTAAAATTAGTTTTAAAAACAAAAACAAAAAATTTTAATTTTAGGGTAAACTAATAAAAACAATAAAATTAAAGTTTTTTTAATAAAAGTTTGGGGAAGAAAAATGTTAATTTTATTAAAAAAATTGTTTTTATTAGTTTACCCTAACATTAAAAAACATTAATTTTTTTAAAACTAATTTTAAATTTTTGATTTCATTTTTAAAAAAAATATATCATTATTTATAAGAATTAAAAATAAATGTATTTAAATTTATTAAAAATTAGGATCAAATTGAAAGAATATATAAATAACATGGACTATTCCGTCATGCCTGTAAACAGCTAGTGACCAATTTGTAATAAACGATAATGTTAATAGCCAATTTATATCTTTTGAAACATCAATGTTGAAACAAAAATTTACCCAAACATTAGTTACCATCGGAGTAGTTTACCCTTCAAAAAAACACTCCTCCATTTTCTTTCTTCTTTCCTTCTCTCCAAACACCCAGTTTCTCACCCTCTCCATAAATCTTCCGGCAAATTCTTCATATAACTTGCCAGTCATTTCAGAATAATGAGATTCCAATCCATCATCTAAATTTATCTTCCCTTTTCTCTGAGTTTTTTTTATGATTTTCTTTCTGAAGTGATAATTGTGAAATTCATTCTTTTTGCTTCCATTTGGGGTGGGGGGGAATGTATGTGATTGAAAAATGTTCTCCTTTTTACCACTCTTATAGACTCCGTTTCACTGTTTTGTGTTTATCGAAACGCTTTTCTTTCTCCCCCAGATCTGTCAACAAAATCTAGGGTTACTCTGAATAACTTTGGGGTATGCCCTGATTTAGTGTCTTCCATAATGTCTATATCTCGAGCTTCATATCCTTCTTGTTGGCTTTAATGACAATGAACTTATAATGAGGGTTGGGAATTTATGGCTTTGATGCTATTAATGCCTGGTCCAGTCTTATAAATATCCAACTTAACAGCTAATAGACATTGTATATAGTAGCTATGAGCTATTTCTATTTCTTTTATAGCAATTAGTTTTCTCTACCTAATGCAACCGACCATAATTGACTAGAAGTTGTTTATAGACTTTCATGGTTTTTATAATCATTGTTAGTCATTTCACTTGATTTGTCTAGTTCATTTGAGTTGCAGAAAAGTCGATTGTAAGTTTTATTCTAATTAGCATGCTTGTTCCAGGTGGCTGAAAGGGCACTTTTCTTTTGGAATAATGATCAAATTTTAAACTTAATCGCACATAACCGGCACGTGATATTACCCGTCATACTTCCAGCCTTGGAAAAGAATGCCCAGAGCCACTGGAACCATGGAGTGCTCAACTTAACAATAAATGTCAGAAAGATGTTCGTGGAGATGGATGATCAACTATTCATGTCTTGCCATGTCAACTTCAAGGAGGAAGAAGCAAAGCTAAGCGTATTAGCGGAGAAACAGAAGGAAGCATGGGAACGCCTAGAAAATGTAGCCAGTCGCCAGCCGATAACTGGAAATACAGCTGTACTGGTAACTCCTTTGGCAGCACCAATGGCCTATTAACTGCCGTCCCAAAATGTAGGTTCCCCTAGCTTCTAGATTTTCCCTTTTGCGCCCCCCAACCTTTATAACAATGGGAAATGTAGGCAAATGACTTCCATTTGTGGGGTGGTGGGATTTTCTTTCTCCCTTTTCGTATATTCTATTAGCAGCCGTTTATTTGAACTTGCATTTTATGTATTATCCGATGCTGCTGCGTGGGATGTTAATTGCTTCCTTGGAAAGGTGATGGGGATGTCCATGCAGTGATTTTATACAAAGTTTATGTATCAACTAATTTTGTTTACCCTCTCTCCATTAACATATGCAATATTTTCTTGTCAGATGGGATTGAGCTTTGCATGCCTTTCGAAAAGTTGTACAAAAATTTAATGTTAACATTTATTTTCAACGTATAGTAATTTTGGTCTTTATTCTTTTTTTAAACATTTTAAATTATTTTTATTAATGTTTTGCATAAGAAGATTTGAACTTGCTTTTTCCTAGAATTTTGATGTTGAAATTTTGAATTCTTGATGGATTAACTTTTGTACTAGCCTTCCAATTCTATTTCTGTGCCAACTATTTGCATTATTGATGTCCAATTTAGTTCTCTATCGATGATTTGATGATGAATTTGCAAATCCATAAACGACTCATTTTTGAATCATTAAGCTATCATGGTTGCTTAAATTGAGTACATGATCAGCAAATAAACCTGCTTTAATTTTTTTTAAGTTCCCCATTGATGTATAGGATGGTGACATTGAATTTTTGTAGTATTTGGTGGGGCAAATATTTGGGGTATAAGTAGCAGGATGAAAAACATTTTCGATACGAACACAACCCGGGGTTTGCTCCGAGTACAAGTTAGTGTCTGTTCAAAAATTTTCATTTCTTTCGAAATGCAACATCGGAGTTTGGTGTTCTCTAGTGTTAATTCAAACAAATGGCCCTTGATGCATATTTTGAACCATTTATGGTTGTCAACTTCAGGTCAACGGTGTAATGAACAAAGCATTCAGTGAACTATTCGTATAACTTTTGTTTATAAAAATAAATGAGTATGAGCAAAATTTTTATGTTCATTTAATAAACTAACAAATACAAACAGAGATGCGTTCGGTTCGTTTATGTTCACGAACAAGCTTGTTTATTGACTCGTTTGCTTATGTTCATGAACAAGCTCGTTTATTGGCTCGTTTGCTTATGTTCATGAACAAGCTCGTTTGTTTATGTTCATGAACAAGCTCGTTTGTTTATGTTCATGAACATGCTCGTTTGTTTATGTTCATGAACATGCTCGTGAACTCTGAACGAACGAACGAACATGTACACCTTCAAAAATAAAATAAACGAACACAAACATAGTCTTGTATGTTCAAGCTCGGTTCATTTACACCTCTACTTACACCTGCTTATATCTGGAACCATTTATACATCTGGTTGCATGATATTAAATTGGTTTGCCGTGTAAGTGGAAAAGGTAGAATATTAGTTTTCTTTTGGTACTAGTGATGTTTATGCAGCATTCAATCATGCAGGAATGGCTCAGGTTGCTATCCGTACATTTGAATTCACTAGCAGTTTAGATCTAATTTGCAGTTCTGATGAGAAAACTAATCTTTTCGAAACAATGTTGGACTCCCTATGAAAGGAAGGGCATGTTAGGGTGGCATCAGAATATTTCACTAGAAAAAAGCAGACAGATCTTTGTCGGGTTCCATCAATCAAGGTGTACAATATACTATTGAACGGATGGTTCCGGTCTCGAAAGCTCAAGCATGCCGAGAGACTTTGGTCGGATATGAAAAAGAAAGGCATGCTGCCTAGTGCCGTAACATATGGTACCCTTATAGAAGGATATTGTACTATGCGTTGTGTCGAGAGGGCGGTGGAATTGGTGGAAGAAATGAAGGAGGCGGGAATGCAGCTGAATGCGAAAGTATAAAATCAGATTATTGATTCACTTGGGGAAGCAGGAAGATTAAAGGAGGCATTAGGGATGATGGAACGATTTTTATAGTGTGAATCCAGGCCTGATATTTCGACGTATAATTCTCTGGTGAAAGGTCATTGCAAGGCCAAAGATTTAGCAGGCGCTAGTAAGGTGCTTAAGATGATGATCAGCAGGGGATGCGTCCCAACCATTACGACCTACAATTATCTCG